TCTCTCAGTCAGCTTCTTCTTCTCCTAACTCAGTCTTTTTTTCTCCTTTTTTTTTTCCCCCTTCTGAAAGCTGCTCTGATCTATTAGCAGAACGTGCTGGGAACCAGGCCCAGCATCCCATATGAACTTATACAATCATGTAAAATACCGGGGCGACTACCCGGAGTGACCAGGTTAAGTAGTGGTGATGGGGCTGCATGTTGTCCGAGCGGAGTGTGTTGATGGCCTTGTCCGTGGTGTGGTTTTCTGTGTGGTGTGAGTTCAAGAACGCTACAGCCCTGGAGGTGGGCTGGATATCCTGACCGGTGTGGATCCAGTTTTGTAACACCTCAAATGATTGTAGTGGTTACGAGACTTCGTTCTTGAGGCTGAGCGTGCCGGTTCGAGGCCGTGCATGCACAGCGGGGCCTGATGCCCAAAAATGCACGTTGTTCAAAAACTATCACTATCCGGCTTCGGCGAGAAGAAGAGAATATGAGAAGTTCACAGATCCTGCAGGATAAAAATCCCCCTGGGGGCCCCAGGGAGTCTTCTTGCTAGTGTTAGGTGTGGACGCTGTGGCAGCCCTAGTCCTCCCCTGGGGGCACCTGAGATGACCCCTGCTCATGTCAGCACTTCAGCTAGGGAACGGGCATGGCATGGGATGGAGTCACAGCGGGAAGGAAGGGTCAATGTGTACCCAGTCCTTAAACACCAAATGATAATCCCTCATACCCTCCAAATCTTGTTGCCCATCTGGACTGTCCCCACTCCATTCCAATTTTGTTATCCAACCCCTCTTCTCCTCCCTCAACCAGTTTGTACTGAAGGCTGTGATTGCTCGCCTGATGTCCCAGACTGCTTGTACGGATCCAACTGGGGTTTCAGATCAAGCCATCTTCGTGTTAGCTCAAGCTGTATTTGTTTCTGTAGTTGGTCTGTGATCTCTGCACTTTTGACCCGCACCTTCTCCATGACAAGGAGGCACCTTTGCCACCATAGCGCCTGCAGTACCGCCCTCCTTCCGAGTCTGTACAAGTTTACCTTCAAAGGCTGTGACTTCCTGTGTGGTTAGCCAGTGTCCATCCAATATTGCCTGCCATGACCATGGCCAGGGGGTGTCAGTCACCATTTTTTGCCAGATGCAGTCCCATCATCTCCAGATGAACTGTGCGATCGGGCATTGCATGAAGGCGTGCTCAATTGTCTCCACCGTTTTCTTTCTGGGGGGTGACAGTTGTGGGCACCGCTGGCAGCCTGGCACCATGGTACTGCTAGTCCTTTCTGTTCCAGGTTAGTGTGACCCACCAGCCAGTCGTTTGTTGGCAGGCAGCGGTGTGCGATCTGCCACTGCAATTAGGTGATTGTAGCCGGCTTAGCCTTTCGTTCCTAGAACCAGCGTATCAATGCAAGCAGACAACGGTCCACATTGAGGTGCTTAGCCCATCAATCGTTAAATGTATCCTTCAAATGACGCTTGCGCCTAAGACTTGACGGACACCCCCTCCCTTCTTCCATGACACTGACACGATGTACATCTGCCCTCCCTCCATACAAAAGGTTCCCTGTGGATCAAGTATGTGTACACGGACTATCTGATCCGGGTCCCCCCTGCTAGCCACCCGATCTTCCTTCCCTCAGGGTGGGACCCTGCTTGAGAGTTTGGTACCAAGCTAGCGGGATGGTGTCAATAATAGATTCAGAGGGGTCCCGCAGCTGCTCTGCTGTTCTCCAGTCTCACTTCTTGCTATCCCATAGATCCCCAACCCTGTCCAGTTGATGTAGCTCAGTGGTCAGAGCACCAGTTGGAAATGCGCATTGTGGGATGAGGTTGCGAGTTCAAAACACAATTGCAGCCACGCGCATGGACACCGGCAGGGTGTTAGAATGACGCACGGCTGGACACACTCCCCCTTGGGCTGATGCACGGTAAGCTTATAAAGACACTGCCTGCGCACCACCCAAGGGTTGTCCATGGTGTTGTATGTCGGGTCTTCATACTGCGTGGGTTGCTTGTAGCTGTTGCTCGTGGTTGTTCTGTTGGTTTCCCCACTCTGGCATATCACACACAGGGGCCGTTTGCGATTGTCTCTCAAATGGTAGAGTCTTCAGGTTACATGTCATCGATCACGGGTTCGAGTCTGGCTTGGGACTTTGGGGGGGTTCTTGTCCAGCTTGGCTTGTCATCTCTTCAAACGAACACATAGTTCTCTCTACGTAGTACTGCACATATCTGGCCTTCGGCCACATACATCTCGCTATACAGTTACACAGAGCACATATAGCCTTCGGGCAGACACAAAAAACATGGCCCTATGGCCTCATACAAACATACATAGCCTCTGGGCACACACACATAAACACAACTATGATACTGGGCTGACAGGGTCTATCAGATATATGACGGGGTCTACTCACGCATGGCTTAGCTCTAGGGTAGGGTAGGGATTTAAGTCGCTCCGGCTAGTCTGAGTTCCGCCTAGCCTTGGGTAAGCTAGGGGAAGGACGGTAGGATGTGTCCGGGGGCGCTGGCCTGCCTTGCTTAGGTAATCTACTGGGTAGACTCTCTGAATTGGCCCTATAGGAGATTGCATGAGCCTGGCGTCCGAAGTTCCTGTACGGCAAGGTTCGTCCGCTTTGGAATCCGCTTCCACCAGGGCTGGGAGGTCGGCCCAGCCTTGGTGCTGGTCACTGATGTCTGGTCCAAGTTGCCCTCGATACTGGTAGGGTGATGGTCCTGAGTGCTGGCCACACTGAGGTAGGATTGTAGGGACAGGGGCTGGACTGGGAGTATTAACGTGGGGATGGGTAGAGTAGGTGGCCTATCCTGTCAGGACAACCATTGGCTGCCGCTACCAGCAATCACAGCAGGTCTGGTCCTTGGCCTCTACAACACCTTGGGCTTTACTTGCGGATGGTAAGTTGGATGCTGAATGGATCAACGGACAGAACACGACACACGACCAGGAGATTGGACGCCAAGTGGTATGGTGAAAGGAGCCCGGACACCACAATGGAAGAGCAATAACAGAAAGGTTCTCGACAACATTGGCAATAGAGCCCATGGGATCGGCTGTGGGCAGAGGCATGATACTTGGCCTCGGAAACTGACCAATGGCAACTGATTTTATAAAACAGGTTCCTGGATTTTGATGTGAAGGGACGCTGTTGCTGATGCGGATAGGAAGACATGCAAGACTCGATGATGGGAAGTAGGATGCCAAATGGATCAACGGACAGAACACGACACACGACCAGGAGATTGGATGCCAAGTGGTACGGCGAAAGGAGCCCGGACACCACAATGGAAGGGCAATAACAGAAAGGTTATTGACATCATTGGCAATAGAGCCCACATGTTACATGCTGCGCCTGCAACAGGCTGCACGGGCCACTTTCAGGCCCGTGACGTTTTCAGGCCGAAAGCCTGAAAACAAGGGCCTACAGGCCCCGTGTCGTTTCAGCCTGAAAGCCTGAAAACAAGGTCCTACAGGCCCTGTGTTGTTTCAGCCTAAATCAGGGCCTTTCCGGCCCTGAGTCTTTTCAGCCTGAAACTGAGGGCCATTTTCAGGCCCTCATGAGTCCGACCTGCCCTGAAACTCAGGCACCAAACCAGGGTTTTAGCACAGGCCATTCTGGGCCTGTTTTCAAGACAACCCCTGGTTGAGCTTCAACGCCAGGGTCTGGCACGTTTCGGCATTGACAAGAGCAGCCTCCTGGACGGGCCAGCACTAAATAGGACTGGCCCGCCCTGCAGGCTGCAGGTAGTTCCTAGGTACTTCCCAGGCACATCACGTGCAGTTCAGGAGGCAGGAGGTAGTCTTCAGGATTCGGCAGCAGCACTCTGGAGGAGCGCTGCAGGAGTAGTAGTAGCGCTAGCAGTAGTCTTCAGCGCTGGGCGCTCTTAGGAGCTAGAGTAGTACTAGAGAGAGAGAGAGATTGGGCGGAGGCCAGGGATACTTACCGGCAGCGCCATAGCTCCAGCTTTGCCTTCAAGGTACCTGCAGCACAGCGCCATCTTCACAGGTTAGTACCTGGCACATGAGAGAGAGAGAGTTCCTCTTCTTCCTCTTCTCAATCCACCATCTCCCTCTCACCCTATCGCTACCTGACTTCACTGCATCAGCAGACTATGAGAGAGCGGGCTTGGTGACATTTGGATCCAGACTCGACATTGGGCTTCAGACATTTTGACGAGGGATTATTTGGGACTTGTAACAAAGACTTGGTGTTGACGACATTCCCATCTCTCCCCCTCTTCTTTGTCTGTTCCCCTCCTCTTCGTCTGTGCATGACTTGGACCTGGCGCATTCTTCCTGTGTGCAGCGCCAGGCCCCTTCACACCATGTGATGAGGATGATGTATGTTTGGTCTACGTTGCAACATTGATTGGGCAAGTCATTGGTATTCTAGCATTCTGCTGCGCTGTCTTGCACTACGTGATAGAGGCCAGTCCCGGTGAGGTCGGGACTTGTATCCAAGTCTTCCCCTGTGCTATAAAGCACCATTTTTGTATGTATGTATCAGAATGTACACTGCTTGTTGAAATTTCACTTGCACTGCATTGTCCATTCAGTCCTTTTTATCACATTGCGGATCCTCGGTTATTTATGTACATTGCCCAACTGGGCATGTAACAGTTGGTATCGGAACACCGTGATCAGGACAACCTGATCTAACACGTGTCCGGGGACTAAGTAGCTGATTAGTATTGAGTGATTGATTAGAGCACACTAGTTAGCCCCCAAAATCACAATTTTGACCTCACTGCCGAAAATCGATTTTATTTTTTTTTCTTGGATTTTGTTTTCCAGCTATTTCTGTTGTGGAAAATCGCAATAGCGCAACACCTGAAATTTCCGTTTTTGTTTTCTTCTCAAAATCCAAAATTTCGTTGTTGGAAATCCGGAATATTTTTTTCTCGAAAGTTTCGATTTCCTTTTGCAATTTCCCGTTATTTAGAAATCTGGATTTTTTTTTTCTTCCCAAAATTCGTTTTTTTAAAACCGACATGGGAAATACGTCTTGCAGTTATCATTTTCCAAACAGCGCGTACTCTCATCTGAGTGATTCCAAATATTTGTTTGTAGTTTCTTTTCGGAATTTTTATCGGACACTCATCTGCAGTCTGAAAGTTCGATTTAATTTTCTAATTCATAATTTCGCACTTCAGGGGGAATTGGGAGGCCTACCGAGCTTGCAAACGAGTTTTTTTTTTTTTTTCCTCGAATTTTTTTGCAAAGTTCAAACTTTTCTTTGTTGATTAGAGACTCCTTATCTGGGCGATTTATCCCACCCACCCCTCCCCACCTATGTTGTTGCCCCCTCTGGTCTTATCTTCTCTATCGGTCTCCGGGTACCCCCTGCGGCGGCATTGGTAAGTTGCCACGTCAGCAGACCACGTCAGCAGGCCACGTCAGCAGGCCACATCAGCAGGACACGTCATCCAACAGTAGTGCCATGTCAGCAGCAGGGAGTACCACGTCAGCAGGCCCCCGGCCTGGTCTATGCTCATGCGCTCGCAAACAGCCGTCATGGACCAGAAGCCCGGGGAAACGGACAAGGCCTATCAGTTCCGGATGCTGCTTCTGATTACCGAAGCCAAGCAACGGTTGAATGCAGTAGCAGCCGCAACAAAGAAGAAGGCAGAGGACACCGAAAAGGCGCGTTTGTTGGCAATCGAACAGCAGTGCCATCAAAACGAGGCAGCAGCAAAGGCTGCCGATGAAGAGCGAATTCAACAACGCAAGAAGATATTTAGCGGAGAGCGATCCTTGCTCACAATGGCAGCGAACTGGCGGGCCGAGGCCGAGAATGGGAAGATGGAAGAGAGTGAAAACAAGACCGCTCTACTCCTCTCCCATCTCACGGACCTCCTGGCAACATGCATTACACAGCAAGATGACATCCACAGCCTCGACGACGCGTTGTCTCAAGCCCACAGCCGCCTCCACGAGTTGGAGCAGCGACCCATCACCGCCCCCGATGCCAGCTTTTCCAACACCTCCGATCGCCTCGAGGCATTGGAGATTGACGTCGGATCCCTCAAGGGCGGCGTGCAGTTACAGCAAACCGCAACGCAACAGTTGGAGCAGCAGATCTGTACTGCCGCCAACCACTCGAGCTCGGAACCGCGCGAGACAACTCCAAAGTTCGATGGGCAGGAGTCTGGAGATTTTCCGCGACTCGACGAAGACGGACCCGATTCCATGGTTTCGCAAGTTCGAGCTCAAGTTGCAACTCCACCACTTCGGCAAACACAAGCACCACGCGTACTTTTACTCCCGGTCGGGGGGCGCGTGCCAAGCATGGTTGGACAATCTTTTGTCCAAGTACGGAGTGGTGGCTGCCGACTTGCACACCAAGATCAGTTGGGATGATCTAAAGGCGGGGTGGCATAAGCGGTTCCAAGTAGAGCCGCCGGAGATAAAGGTAATGGACAAGCTGATGACCTTCGAACAAGGCACATTGCCGAGTGTTGACTAGATTGCCGAGTACCAACGCTTGACATCCATCCCAGACATTCAAATTGGCTTCAAGGTCGTAAAACACTACTTCATCCTGAGGTCGTGTCCGGCGTTGAGCAATTCCTTAACTCACGCCGAGGACACCCTGACGACAATGGCGGAGCTCTTCGATAAGGCCGCGCAGATTATTGTCACAAATAAAGAGGCTAAGAACCTCCACCGTTCGTCTGCGACAAACCCAAGCAGAGATCAGCATCACCCAAAAGTGGTCGTGGTCGCGGCGACAATGCCAAATGACCAAACTAGCAAGGGCGTGTCTGCCAATGAAGGGGACAGACTCACAACCCCCCAGGATGGTGGTCGCCCCGGCAAAGGCGAGGACGTGGCAAGGCGAAGACAAACACCACATATAGCCCCAGGCCCGACTCAGCAGCTCCAGCCCCAGGGTCCCACTACGGTCTCTCCGAGCAAGCATACAAGGCACGCACGAGACTCCGCTATTGTCTGTGGTGTAACAACGATCTCCACGACACAATGGGCTGCATGTCGAAAGGCAAGGGCAAATCGAGAAACTGAGCACCGCAGGGAGTGACTCGGCGACACTCTCAACGCCTTTGGAACCGGTCACTTTGCGGGTGACCGCCCTTCGTTCCGAGGCACATGCGAAAGTCGATAGTCCTCTTCTATTTTCTTATGAGGACTATGTTGCCCGGCTCGTTCCTACGTTGGGTACTCATGCTCAAGGACAAGACGTTTGTATGGCATCTTCTCCATCCGGCGGCGGCGACTTATCGTCTTTAAGTGGTTCTTCATGGGATTCGGTGCGTGAGTTCAACATAGAGGTATTGGACCCGCTCACGTCCGAGGATTTCACATGGATTCCTCTCTCGACCACAGACCGCTTGCTGGGACCGCAATGCGCAATATTATGCGCCCATCTTCACACGTATCTATCATTCTATGCACCACCAACTTCGCCGACGGATGACGAAGCTGCGATAGAGAACATCCTTGCATATGTTACCAAGGTGGCCCGCGAGTTTTGCAAGCAGCGGTACGACGACAACAACGCATCGCTCCTCTATGTCCGCATCCAAGTTGGGCAAGCGTTCTGCAACGCTTTGCTGGATAGAGCGCATCTCGCAACTTCATGAGTCAGACCTTTATGCAAAGGGATGGCCTTGGCACACAAGTTCGAAGGAAGGCAAGCCCGACAGAGATCAAGTTGGCGGATGGAAGGACGCAGCACCACTACGGTCTCTCCGAGCAAGCATACAAGGCACGCACGAGATTCCGCTATTGTAATAGCGATCTACACGACACAATGGGCTGATTGTCGAAAGGCACGGGCAAATCGGGAAACTGGGCACCGCCGGGAGTGACTCAACGACACTCTCGACGCCTTCGGAACCGGTCACTTCGCGGGTGATGCCCTTCGTTCCGAGGCACATGCGGAAGTCGATAGTCCTCCTCTTCTATTTCCTTATGAGGACTATGCTGCCCGACACGTTCCTACGCTGGGTACTCATGCTCAAGGACAAGACGTGTGTGCGACATCTTCTCCGTCCGGCAGCGGCGACTTATCGTCTTCAAGTAGTTCTTCACGGGATTCGGCGCGCGAGTTCAACAAAGAGGTATTGGACTCGCTCACGTCCGAGGATTTCACATGGCTTCCTCTCCCGACCACGGGCCGCTTGTCGGGACCGCAATGCGCAGCATTATGCGCTCATCTTCACACATATCTATCCTTCTATGCACCACCAACTTCGCCGACGGATGACAAAGTTGCGATGGTGGACATCCTTGCGTATGTTACCAAGGTGGTCCGCGAGTTTTGCAAGCAGTCGTACGACGACAACAATACCTGTCTCTTATACACATCTAGATGTGTATAAGAGACAGGCATTATGCGCTCATCTTCACACATATCTATCCTTCTATGCACCACCAACTTCGCCGACGGATGACAAAGTTGCGATGGTGGACATCCTTGCGTATGTTACCAAGGTGGTCCGCGAGTTTTGCAAGCAGTCGTACGACGACAACAATACACCGCTCCTTTATGTCCGAATCCAAGTTGGGCAAGCGTCCTGCAGCGCTTTGCTGGATAGCGGCACGTCTCACAACTTCATGAGTCAAACCTTTATGCAAAGGGCTGGTCTTGGCACACAAGTTAGAAGGAAGGCAATCTCGACTGCGATCAAGTTGGCAGATGGAAGGACGCAGCAACTTATCGACCGCTACATCGAGGTCGTACCGGTCTATTTCGACCTCATGCATGCGAACTGGTGACATTCGACATTTTGGACACGGACTTCAACATTATTTTAGGAATGCCTTGGCTTGCAAGTACCAAGTGCGGATCACACGGTCAACTTCCACCGACGGACTCTTACTGTTCGCGACACTTTCGGCGCCGAAGTACCGGGTACTATTCGTTTTCCGCACCCTTCGATCCGATGCCAAGTGGCGACCACCAAGTCATTCCGGGCTACTTGTGCTTACGAGCAGCCCGACGAAGTCGGCCTATGTTTCCTACGGACCGTCGCGGTAGCTAACTCTTCACCCACGAACTTGTCTTCGGACCCCCGTGTGGTGCGGTTGCTTGACGAGTTCGCCGACATCTTCAAGTCACCTACCGGTGTGGTGCCGGATCGGCCGATTTCTCACGATATCATTCTTGAGGCCGGTGCGATGCCGTCAAAAGGTTGCATTTACCGTATGAGCGAGGAGGAGCTTACGTTCCTCCGCACGCATCTCGATGACTTGTTGGACAAGGGCTGGATCCGCACTAGTACCTCCCCATACAGAGCGTCAGTTCTCTTCGTACGGAAGAAGAATAAGGATCTACGACTGTGCATCGACTACCGCAAGCTCAACGCACAAACCATCAAGAATGCGGGGCCTCTTCCTCGTATCGATGATCTTCTTGAGCGATTGGGCAGCTCCGGCGGTCAGGTTAGGAATTGTATCTAAGTCTTCCCCTGCGCTACAACTTGAAAGCACCATTTTTGTATGTATGTATCATATATATATATAATTGAACCTGATTACTCAGAGTGCTTATCTACTCATATCTCACATACTACCCTGACCCTAATCTCAGATATTCATACCAACCAGCAGTCTCTACCGAGCCCATACTGTATACGAACCAGGCCTCTACCCGGTCTCACACCCCAATCTAGCTAGGTTACAGGGCACCGCAACCCACCCCAGCGCCGACCCTCGTCGGCCAGATTGTAGCCTTTGGTCAAGTATTGTAATTGCCTTCCACCTCAGCAATCCCCAGATCTCTATCCAAGGCCTCAAGCTCCTATGAAGGTTACAGGGCGATGCCCCAACACCAGCCAACGTCGTTCTGGATGCTACTCAACCTGCAGTGGGCAAGAACACAATAAAAGATCAATTAGCAAATCAACTAGACTAGAATGTAACCTAAGCTTTCAGATTCGATAATAGTGGGATTTTGACCAAACAACCAAACTGATGATGATGATGATGATGATGTTGATAATGTTGATGATGTTGATGATGTTGATGATGATGATACTTGATGTTGATTGACCCTCCTCTGTCCACCCCTCCTCTTTTCCCCTCTTGCCACCCCTCCTCTCTCTTGCTGCCTCCGCTAATCAGAACCACGCTGTTGTTGAACGGTTCCTCACAGCCCCAACAATAGGAAAGCCTCTCTCTACCCTACTCCCCTCAAAGAAGGCTATTCCCCCAAAGAGCCTACCTCAAGCTATCTCTGCCCTACTCTGCCGCCGCTAGTAGATGATGTTCCGCCTTCCATCTCTCCCAGCCCCAGAGTTAGACAGTCCCCCTTGTCTGCCCTTATTCCCTATAGGCAAACACTTCCCACCTTGTGTTTCCCCTGCAGAAAAGAGCTCTCCCCACTCAATCCATCCTGCCCTCCACGTCAGCAACCTTGTGGGAAGGATTTTTGCAACCACAAGTATAGAAAAGAACAGGGAAATAAGAATTGAGAGGTTGATGATGATGATGATGATGATAATGGTTGATGAAGCTGATGAGAATGGAAAACTCAATGAGATGACGACGTCAAGAACAGCCCTAGGATGAAGAAACTAATGAATAGGTTAATGCGAAGAAGCAGCGCAGTGATGAGGAAGACCCACCGCACCCTGATGATGTCAACAATCAACGTGAAGATGGCGAGAAGTGTCGTGCGGAATCATTGAATTTACGACGCCCTAGAAGAGCGCGATGGTGACAGGAACGCACTGCGCAATGAAGTTTTTTATTTTTATTTTTTTTTGGCCATTGTGCTATGAGCGCACGACAGCATCAAGAAGATGATGATGATCAGTATCATAGGGAACGAAAATGCTGATGAAGATAATAGCCGCCCAGCTACAATAGTGAGATGATGACAACCTGCAAGAGACAAAACAAACAATAGAACAAGGAAACAGCCTGATGAAGAGCGCCTTCCCTAATGATGACCTCCCTGATGAAGAGCAGTTCCCCTAATGATGGCCTCCTTGATGAAGACCAACTCCCATAATGATGACCTTCCTGATGAAGAACAGCTGCATCCCAGATGATGACCTCCTTGTTGATAATGATGGTCAGTGCTATGATGATGCTGACGAATAGCTCCCTAATGATCTCCCTCCACACACTCCAATCGTATGATAACCTTCGCACTTTGCACTCCATTCTAGTCTGTCGTCCAACACACTTCAGTCTCCATGGGATTTACTCCACGTTCCTCCACTGACCGTTGGCTTGCGCCAACTCGCTTGAGCAAATACAGCCTCCTGCTGGGGCGTTGGCTATGGAGTACTTCATGCGGAAGTCACCAGAAGAATGATCGAGTAGCAGCTTTCGCCACCACTCTCCCTTCTTCCTGTGACTCAGACCAGATGCCACGTCCACCCGTGACGTGGCGTGGCCTAGCACCTCTGGTTTCTGCGTGTGCGTCAAGCGCCACCTCCTACCCCCTCCGAGT